AGTGAGCAACCACACAACGTTGCACTAGGCCTAGGAAGGGAATGGATGCAGGACGAGACGTGGGCAGCCTCTGCTCTCCCTGGCGTTTCTCTTTCTGGGTTTAGCCCTATGTCACCTACGAGCGGCTTCTAAATGCTCTGTGCGCTGACTTGGCCGGATAGCCGGCTCTTTCCGAACCAATAACCCCACATGCATCTTTTCGCACGCTGCAAGTGAGTTAATTGTACGGCGCAAATCCAACACACCTATTTCTCACTTGGTCTCTTCGGAGCATGTTGTTCTGGTTTCAAGAGCCAGTCAACCATCTATGGTCAAGAATTGACCAGGGAACATGCACTAAGAGACAAATAATCCTTCGAAATGCCTCACCTGGCCGTATTGATGACTAGCAGTACTGGCAATTTGAACAGGAAGCGGACGTTGTTGAGCTCGCTGAATAGGTATGTTACGCAACTCAATGTTAACGTAAGGAATGATATACTAACTTGTTGCTCTTGAGCAGCGGCAGCAGTAGCCTGCCCGTGAGCCCGGGCTTGAGAAATCAACTGGTCCAATACCGCCGGTGAGGGAGACGCTGGTGCCGAATCCGTAGACGATGGCGTACCACAACCACCTAGCAAATCAAAACTATAATACAACACTTGATAGGCTACATTTTAAAAGGATGCTGAGTTGTGGGCAAAATAATTCGCTCCAGCCGGGATTCGTGGATCTCTTGCTTTCCGGGCAATTGTGCTACCAGTTACACCACCGGGGCACCATTTCACCCCAACTCAGCTTCGATGGTAAAGTTACCATAGCTTATCAGCATTCACACGTATAACGTGATGAACCGGTTAGCCGATATCGGCAGTAAACTGCAAGGCTGGAAGCTTTATAAAGTTTTTTTTTCACTAGGCACTAACAGCTCAATTTCAGTTGTTTGCTTACGAAGATATAACGTTCCCAGTTGGTATTATGTGCCCTTATTACTCCAAAATTCCTCAAGAAACCACCTGCAACCTTCACCAAATGGCTCCAAACGCTATCGCGTTTCAGACGGGGGTCAGCAATAAGGGGGAAAGAGCAATAGGAATTCCAATTCCGCCAAGTTGGCACCTACCCAGTATACCGAGAACACCAGAAGACTGCACTCCTTCATCACCTTCTATCCACTACAGAGTTTTCTCGGTCCCCAACCAGTCTCTAAGAATATCGCACGATTTCCGGTCCGTCCACGTCAAGGTACGCCCCACCCACTACAGGTCTTCACCTCCCTTCTTCGCTAGCCTCTTTACTTTCTTCCGATCTACGGGCCGTCACTTGGTCGTTATGCTGACTTGAGATTTTAATTCGGCGACGTAGTGATTCCAATATGCGATTTTTTCAACAATTTCGCACAAACTCCGCTTACTGTCGGTTGCTCAGAATCACCTTGCTTGTGTGTCTTCGTGTGTTTTTTAGGCATGCCCAACCTATCTCCAAATTGATGCGCTGAGATTTAGTTGACAAAATCTCAGTTTTCCGAGCAAAGTGACGAACAAACGTATAAAGAGGGAAGCTTATCTTTTGAATACAATGTGGTGATCAAGCAAATTTGAAATGCTAACCTGACTGTTTCTTATGTGATTGCTCTACATGATTTGACAAGCCTGCCGTGGTCTTGTAACGTTTCGAGCACTGTTGACATTTATATGGTCTAGACCTGAAATGCGCCTCTTTATACGGAATGAGCAATGAGGAAGAGTAGGACAGAAACCAAAAACTCCTCTTCATTCACGAATTCCTTTTCAATCTGCATTTTCGTTACGTGTTCTCTATCGGTAAGTCAAGTGGAAGATAGGAAAGCAGGGCGGACACTTGTAAAACGGCATCATATTTATTCATTTTTTCATTCATTTCCACTTTTTTTTGCAAATCATTTCTTCGGGTCGTATAATGTGCTTCGGCGGGAAGAGCATTGGTAAGGGTCTCGGTATTAGAAAGACTAATAGAAAACACTTTAATGCCGAGGAATATAGACCGGGCATTCTAGCGGCACCACCTGATTGTGCACGCCGAGCATATTACTGTAGTCTTGGCAGGTGCTGCGGATTTTCTTCTCAACCCTAGTTGTTTCCACTAAGTGTCACAATTCCTGACATTTCTCGTTTGTTCTCGAACTTCTGGTAGGTGGTAGTGGAACACATATTTGGAGCCCACCAGAGCTGCCTTCTCAGTAACGTAATAAGGTGAAGGGAAATCCCGTCGCCGCCGTGTGACGGCGGTCTCTGGAATCAGAAGAAAAAGAGATGGGATTTCTGCTCATAGGAGAACTCAAACAGGTTCAATCCCATAGGTTTGGACTTTAAGTAATCTGAGCAAAGAGAGTGGTGAGGCTTCTCTTTAAAAAAGCGAGATCAAATAACCAGCTTTGCTTCTGACCTGTGCCAGTCTACCTGACAAAACTTTGAAAATCTTCAGAAAAGTACTTTTCTAAAAGTTTTTTATTCGGGAAAAATATGATCAATGCAAGTAGGGGGAATCAAAAAAAAAATGAGGTGCCTCTATAGTTTTGCAAAATCAGCAAAGTGACCATTTTTTTCCAACTAATAGAGGTAAAAACTATATTCCAATGTATGAAACTTGGTTTTGATAACCAGAATCCTATTTGCGATCATATTTTTCTAGAAATTTTTTTTAGAAGCCTCCGTATTATTGAGAAATTCCACCGAACTTTTAGGACCTAGATTACGCAATTATGCATGTAGGAGAAACTAAGAGTTGATGTAACTCCTTCCACCATCGAAGACCTTAACACGATAACCGAGAGATTAGAAAAATTATATGTTGAAAACGGGTGTTTGTTGACATCAATTTGGTCCGCTTAGTGGCTGCCCTCACGCAGACTTCTCCTTATTCGTGAGAATACTCGAAACGCACATTATATTTGTCTAGTCGCGAGTCCTCAGTTCATATGAATGGAAAAAAGAAAAAAAATGAAAAAATAGAAATAGAAACGTACGCAGCATATTTCGTGGGACTAGCCGTAGGAGGAGGATGTCCATTGTGGGAAGAAGGGCGACTTCCAGAAGCGCTTGAGTGACTGCTGAGAGCGCTCTCCTTCAGAATGACTCCGTGGGTAGTACGAGAGTGGAGCCTGCAGCATGAATCGGTAGTGAGGCCTATTTTGAAGGGCAATATGGTCTTTTCATTCCAGTTTTCGCGTAAAATCTCGGTCACAAATCTTCAAGTAAACATTTCAACGCAAGAGGATATTTCCAAGAAAAAGTACCTCAGCCCGGAGCCTGATCTAAAACGTTTCCCACACTCAGCAACATGGCAACGGAAGCGATCTTCTAGGTCACTGCAAAGGAGATTCCAGAAGATTTTTATCTTTCCAAAGGTGCACAACTTACTTAACGCTGCACTCACTCAGATCCTCGACAACACTATCGCCAGCGAATGGCTCTTCTGGAAAAGACAACATAAGCCGTTCGAGGTAAGATAATTAATTAATGTTTGAAGAGCTGAATTACACACTTTCGAAGAAGCTACTATATCTTTAACTGAAATTGATCTGAATTCAAGGCCTGTGTGTACCGCAATGATTTTGGAGCTACCCGAGTACTTGTCGTTCTTGACCTTTCTTGACCTTGAAAAGTTGGAAAACTGACAGATGGAGGGCTTTGAATAATTCCGAAGGAAAAATTACTAAGCCACGGAAAATCGGCAAGTTCAAGAGCCGGCTGTGGTGAAATGTATGGCAAACGTTAGAATAAGCGAAGAAGTAGAAAACATGCGGCGCAACGCAGGCGTAAGAAGAAAAAATACAGAAAATTGACGCGGTTTACAAACTTATGACAGTCCAACTTTACAACATATCAAGCAGTTTACCATTTGTTTACTGCCACATGGGAATGAATATTTCAGTGTTATTTCGTTTGTTTTCACTGATGCGTAAGGGGCACTGTAATATCCGGAGTGGATCCATTCAAAAAAAGCGGTGAGAAAGCTGGTCGGCCGACGGATCGCTTGCCGCCTGATAAGGTCTTGTATGGGTCTTTTCTTCCACAGCGACGCCTCAGATCGCATCTTCCACCGAACCTCCTTTCAACTTGTTCACATGATGTCATTGAGCTATCGTTAAATTTGCCTTCAGACGTGTCGCGCAAATATGGCAGCTAGTACAATTCTCCCCCTCCCTTTTTTGCTGGATCCCGCGACCCACCATTGCCACGTTAACACCCTATCTTACCTATAATTAGACCTAACCCCTAACCTCAAAACTGACACAAACATTCTGAAGCTTTAGTCGTACAAAAAGCTATAGCATACCTTTTTTCAAAGATGTTGTAACGCCTTGCACACTCGATGAGCTCCCAGCTAAAAAATATATAAATGGGGTAGATGAAAGGAAAAGAATCATATTGACAATAAGTACACTCATTAGGTCGTTTCCGGTAATGGTTGAACGTTATGCGAACAACGTCTGGATCACATGGCGCAGGATTGTATGCAGGGCGGAAGAGCCTGAACATCACACAGATTTCTTGCAGGGAAAAATTTCTACAATATTCAAGTGGCCAACCTATAAACACAACTAAGTGGCATATTCGGAGTAGCTGAAGCACGATTCTCTTCAGTACCTTGAGCTTGGCTAACTTTTTGACGATATTCGTCCTCTAACGGCGCTAAAACCAACAGCTTGGTGCATGAATAGATTCAGTGGCTGTGTGTGACTTACGAATATGGGTGAACTCTATGTGGGCGATTAGATCGTCCGTGCTGGAGAAGTATAGCTGACAACCACCAAATGAACATCTGTTCTGCGAAAGTAACGACAGTGCCATAAACTGGAATAATGACGTCCTAACAAGAGTGAAAGCATCCTTGACACAGATATCAGTGCGACGAACTATACAATCAAACTCCATAGTCAGTGTTCCAATGTTTATCACTCTAAGTCTGCAACACAGATACCCGAAACTTGTCCTAATTGAGTATCTGACTACTGCGTAAGAT